TCATAATTTATTCATTTGCAAATAATATAAACTAGGTGTGACACAATTTTCAACACCAAAAATGTGTTATGACTTCAAAGTTCGTGTTCCAGTTTTTTGATAGGAAGATATGAATCGTTATAGGTTAATTATCATATTTAAATTTTCATACTTCAGTTGACCCGACTTATAGCATCCTGTAAGGGCTCCTATCCTTGGGTTACAGGATAATCAGCAGCATCTGTTCTCCATGTTAGGAGCGGCTGCACAAGGCGCTGTTCCTCATGTTAAGAGGCGGCCATTTTATACCAGGTCAAAGTCCAAGTTACACCTCTCTGTAGGTGACCTCGGGGGAATGCTGGATAAAACCAGCGCTTTAACGTATAACTGGCATATAACCTATATTAAAGGATAAGAAAAAAATTCATACTATGGAGATAAAACCATCATTATTCTCTACTATAAATATATACCATACAACACAATTCTTTCCTATTTGGTTTACATCATATAAAATGCACACAGTCATGGAGACAAAACTTAAGAAGGTTTCATGTTATGATGTCACCTTGAAGGAGACACGCAATTTTGCTCACATTTGGTTATTTAGTGTGTCTTCAATAAAGGTCACTGTAATATCTTTCAGAGTTATTGTCTGAATCCCGATATACATGTAAAAAGGTAAAAATTCCTTAAGTTTTGTCCATGCGTGTAGTGTTTACATTATGTACGTAGTACATTATGGATGTCGTTCCAACCCTATACATCTATGTAAATATAGGAAAAGTGAATAAATAAATATTTTATCTGGTAAATAAACAGTTACTGTCTCGCCGTCGGTAGTTAAGGCTAAATTTAAATATAAATATTTTTTACATTACAATTATCTCCTGACACCAAAGCCTTACATTTCTACAATACATTATACCCAAGCATCAATTAAATGATGATGCAGAAGATAAATATAGAATATTATTATCAAAAGTGCCAACCAATAAAGAGAATGAATTCATCAAACCACTGTTATATTTTTAAATAAAAAGGCATATATTGGATCAAAATATCATTTATTTTATCAATATTTCAGTTGGCTGAACGCCAACCTTTATCAAGGTATTATAAAATTTTAATCTAATTAAACTGTTATAAAACCTTAATAAAGGTTGGAATTCAGCCAACTGAAATATTGATAAAATAAATGATATTTTGAGACGATATATGCCTTTTTATTTGACGATTTATTTATGGATTGCTCTATTTTAAAAATTGTTAGATATATGTATTTGTTATGAGACTAAATACATACCGAAAATTAATTCCAAATTGTAACTTAATTCTATAGAGAGATATTAAAATCAAAAAAGACATATCCTGACCACGCTCATATGAGCTTTTTAGATGGCTGAACGCCATCTAGTGAAACAAAAATCAGCTAAACGCCGATTCAGCCTGTTCCCCGATATTTGGCCAACCCATCAACGTTTAGTTGATTTCTGTTCCACTAGATGGAGCTCTGTCATCTAAAAAGCTCATGTGAGTGTGGTCAGAATATGCTTTTTTTTAAATTTAATATCAATACCTGACCTTTTTTATTATTTTTATAATGTATTCACATAAAAAAATATATACTTAATACTACACAATAAGTTTCCATAAAAATATCAATGAAATATGAGATATTCAACGCGTTTCTTTAATTTTAAAATTTAGGTCAACATTTTGAATGCATACGTAAAATATCAAGATGTTCGAAAATCAATTGAAAATATTTAAAATGTAGAAACGAACCATTCTAGAGATGGTTTATTGTTTTACATAATCTCCAGAATTTTTATCGCCCCAATTCCCCAATGAGCATGTAATTGCTATAGGTGCGTTGAAAGGGAAGAACACAGGTTGAGATGGGTGACCAGATGTAGATCGGCAGAATGGAAGAGCTCTCTCCTCCAAGATGGGGGGTTTCCATGGCAACGCGCGTTTTCCAATCGATCGTCTGCGAGCAACAAGTTCCCGCCATATTTCCACCTTCATCGTCTGCAAACTTTTCCCCTTCAATTTTTCTTACTACCAACGATTATTTTCCTTACGCCCTTAATTTTTTTCCGATTATATTTTTTTCTACTTCCTTTCATTTTTTTGTTCTTGTTTGCTTTTATCGTATCTGTGGTATAAATTAAGATTTCTCCGTGTGACTTTGGAAGGTGAAATAATTCTTTTATTTGTTAGCGTTTGATTTGTTTTCCCATCAAATGGAATCCTAACTTTATTTTCACGGAATTACCTGATCACCTCGATTCTATCTTTTGGAGAGAAAAGAAAATGGAGAAATAATTGAAATGGCATCACCTTGGATTCTTTTTTTTTTTTAACATTTATATTCTATAAAATAATCATTTGCAGCTATATTTAAGAATATATTGTGGCGTAGAAATTCAGGCTTTGAATATCTTAAGATGAAAGCGTATTTATTGATGACGTCAAGTATGACCATTCGACAATTTTATTAACAAACCAACCAAACTATCTACAGCTAGAGAATATCGAGAAAGCAAGCTAGGCAACTAAATTATGATTTAACAAATATAAAGTAATAAATCTGTTTTAAATATTTTCATTAAATAATTAAATTATAAATTATTTCTTCTCCCCAATATTTTTGATTATGTGGGTACATTTTGATATTTTGATATAAATACAGAGATTAATAGCAAATGAAAAGCCTACAGGGAGAGACATCCTAAAATAAGCATAGATACTCCTAGAGGTGGTCTCTTATTGGAAGTTTGTTCAGTTGAGTTATTTCTGATTACTGAAAGTTGTCGTCCCTAGAGATGGTCTCTCATCATGCTGGTTGCTCAAAAATAGTTTTACTGTTGAATAGAGTAAGGGATTAAAGAAAATAGGATTAAGCATCAACTAACTAGAGGATTAGCTGACGTATATAGGGGATGGATAGATTAGCGTTTTCATCTAAACCCCAAATATAGATCAATATGCCTGTAAAAGGGCTATAAAGGTTTGAAGCTTGCAATACCGATGAAGAAACACATTGTCCAGGTTTTTGATTTATTTTTTATATAAATAATTTATATTTTATATAAATAATTTATAACAAAATCACTTCTCTTTCAAAATACTAAACTCGTTTATACAATACATTCTTAGGAAATTTCGAAACTATTTTAGACGCGTAAGATTCTTTTTAAAATTATACAATTTGTACTGCCCTTACTGCAATGGAAAAATTAATGGGAGGACCTGGCTCATCAGTGGTGAACCCTCCCAGCGGTTTCGCTAGTTTAAACCACTGGGAGGGTTCACCACTGATGAGCCAGGTCCTCCCATTAATTTTTCCATTGCAGTAAGGGCAGTAGGAATTTTTTAATTTCAAAAAGAATCTTACGCGTCTAAAATAGTTTCGAATTTTCATTACAGATGGCGCGCTAGTGCATCATATTACATTTTTAGAAAACAGATTCCCGCTCTTCCTTAGAGCTATTTATTGGATTTAATAAACTAGCACATTGTGAATCATCACATTATTACTAATAAACTTGTATGTATAACCTAAAAAATATATGAAAGATATGAGAAAAAGAGGATAATCAAGTACAGTGAGTGAATAAAATAGACACCATATATACAGATGGAATTTTTATCGGAAGGATATTTATCTGTAAAAAGAAAGGTAACTTCTCTTTCAAAATAGACAGTAAAACTAAGCGCCATCTACAAGGTTGTCCCAAAAGTTCGTAAACACTTGCAAAAAATTTCAATACCAATATTATTCACCATAATATTATTCGCAGTAGTCTATAATATATTTGTATTATGTAAAGAGTAATTGTATTATGTATTATTATGGATTCGCGGTAATAATATTATTCGCCAAGTAATAATAAAAACAATATTTTAAGAAAAACACGAACTTTTGGTACAGCCTTATATACACCGTCTCTTAAGCTAGCGAACTCGCGATCGGTGATAAAGCCAGAATGAATTTGCCAAAACTGGTGGTGTGACTTTGACACGGTTATTAGAAGGCGCTTAGCGACTATTGTGACAGAGGAGAGTGCTGATTCTTAAAGATTAGGGGTATATTATAGTTATATTATGAATGCATCAACAAATCACAATATCGTCATTGTATTTTACAATGTTTTTGTCCTATGTATTTCAAGATATATTGTCTTATAAACACCATTGAAGTTGAGTTATATTTGAAGGGCCTGAGAATGGTTAGTGACAAGCTTATTCAACGAATTTGCTAGTTAGACTTTGATTGGACCACTTCAATAATCATATGTAATATATGTAACTTATATATCCTATAAAATAACGAATAACACTACAAATAATTTCTTTGTCCTTGTCAGGAGAAATAAATAAAAATAAAGAATTAGGCAAGGCTTTAAAAATTGTTCTGAGGTTGCAAGGGCGTTTTCATGCGATTTTTCGAATTTAGTACAACATCTTTGTACAAAATTCCCAAAAATCACGTGAGAACGTCCTTGCAACTTCAGAACAAATTTTAACGCCTTGCCTAATTCTTTATTTTTATTTATTTCTCCTGACCAAGACAAATATTTTTGTTGAAACGTTTAGAAAATAAAACTCTAACTCTCAGAAGTATAATCCTTTCAATAATTATATTAACGAATAGATTCAAGAATTCTTGAATCTATTCGTTAATATAACTCTCAGAAGTGTCTATTTTTCACAGAAATATGAATACCGGCTAGGCAAACTCTATCTTCAGGTCTACAAATGATGGCTATACTGACCGAAAAAGCAATACTCTAATTGTATATATATTGTAAGAAGTATTTATTAATTTTGTTATTTTTATTAACAGAATGGCCATTTTTATGTTTATACTAGCCGAATGACCCGGGCAACGTTTTACCCGATTAAATGCTTTTATTCAAATATTATTCGTTACAATTATAAATTGGCGCCGTGGATGTCATTCATGTATAATATATAAATGAGTTTTGAAAATTGTAAAAAAAAAAAAAAAATGCATCGGTCGGGAATCGAACCCGGGCCGCCCGTGTGGCAGGCGAGCATTCTACCACTGAACCACCGATGGTTAAGAGAAATCGCCATATTTGGGTATTTATTCCATTCACAAAGCAAACGGTGATAGAATTGATTAAGAAAGAATTGATTATGACGCTGATAACTGTATATATTAATTTTGCTACTCTGTAAATTTCCCTCGTGGCTTATCTTTTGTTTACCATTCATAGTTTGTTCTTGCCTGAAATAAATTGTTGTCTTATCCCGAAGTTGGTCTTGCCTAATTTTCCACGTGGCAATTTGTATATACATTCTTCAAAAATGACTTTGCTCTCTTTAGACCTCTTAGCAAATACTGCGGTATTATAAACCTCCTGGCATCCAAGGATAATTAAATCCCTTTATCAGTTGAACATTCCATTTTATCAAACAAAAATAATAGAATCATTCTTTTAAAACCGCAATGTCTTATTTGAATACGCTGGATTTATTGTGACAATTGACAATTACAAAATATTTATTGTCATCTTAGACAAAATTACATTTCAAAGGCAATGAGAGAGAAAGAAGAAAAGAATATATACATGAAAAATGAAGTATAATACATGTATGATACATATTTTACAAGGGGGGTGATAGAAGAAAACCTCGACGCTGGAGGGTCCTGGACCAGGCGATGAGCGGGTCCTCCACCGCTTCTCCGAGTCCAACCTGGACAAAGTAGCGATAGATTCGCAACTTTGCCGACGCCAGGATGGAAAGGGCGTCGTCCTCAAGGCCGGACCCGCCGAAGATCCAAGCCTGCAGGTCAGGGGGCCGCCCTATGATGTTGAAGGCCTCTCTGATGAGAGGCCTGATGGAACGGCAGCACCAGTAACGGTGGCCGAGGGAGCGGTCGATGGACCCGCAGGCAGGACAGGAGGGGCCGACCGATGCAGGATGGGCCGGATGGGGCAGGGCGTGGAGGGCCAACTTGAGGGCCGCGTCGGCCTCGTGGCCCGAGTAGGCGCAGCGCCGCAGCGAGGCCCAGTCGATCCTGGATGGTGGATTGATGGTGGGCGTCCATCTCGACAGGAATCTGGAGATGGGCGTGGCGGCGAGGCGCGGACGATCCAGGGCCCGTCGGGCTGAGCGGGTCGTGAGGCCGCTGAGGAACGGCATAGCCGTCCCCCGCAGCACCACGGCCGCAGCTAAGGAGCTAGATGAGGGCGTAGACTCCTCCCGAAGCCCACGGCGTTCTCGGAGGTCAGCCTCCGGCAGAAGGCGCCCAGGGCCGCGGCGTCAGTCAGGGCCGAGCGCGTTGGGCGGGCGATGAGATTTTCCTCCACGATGAGATCCCGGACTCGGGCTCCGCGCCAGCGGGCAGGGGCCAGGAGGTCGGGAGGGCGGAGGAACCGGCAGCCGCCGATGATGGGGAGGTCCAGCAGCTGAGCCGTGGATTTATTGTGTAAAAACAACCAAACAAAGGATAGCCACATGGAGGACCATTGTCTCCGTTACTTTGGAAAGTCATCCAGATTATAAATTTGTTTTGTTTGATTCCTCTGTAAGAGGCGAAATTACTTCAATACCGTGCCTTCTTGATTAATAAATAAATTAAATAAACAAGGCAACACAAAGGTTTCTGGAGCTGTTTTTTCTTTTCATTTTTATTGCAATCTCAAGCTTTCGGGAATTTCCGCTTTTCTACAGGAGTATAAAAATGAAAAATAATAAAACGAGGCGGTAAAGCCCGAAAGCTTGAGATTAAAAAAGAAATGTAAAGAAACGTATCTCCAGAAATCTGTCGCCTTATTTAATTCATATACAGGAGATCCACATCTATTGCATTGATGCCAAGGATGGAATGTGTGTAATATTTAAATCAAAGATACAATTCTTTCATTGGCCTTGTAGAACGAGGGTGGTGTACGCGTGCTCACATGTTTTAGTGAAAACACAAACATCCTAGATAAAGAGAGGCGAGTTGCCCCTCGAAATATTGGAACATTAAAATAATTATAAATCCAATATATATGCATCTTTTTTAAATATACTTATGTGATGATTTAAGACCATGGAATTGTTGTAAATAGTCTAAATATCCACTACCACATGTTCCACCCCATGACTGTATATAACTTCTTATGTACTGCACATAGAAAGCCTCAACTAACATCAATCTGTACCGCGTAAGAATCTAATAAAGTATATCAACTGTACAGATAGAAGGAATGGAGAGAGACAGGAGAAAGTTAAGGTTAAAACAAATCAGGCTTAGAGGATCGTAGAAGTCAAACCTAAGAGGTAGGCCTAGAAGAGAACATAATTATTAATAACGCCACAGTTAACCTTCTGACCCCGGACACCCTGCGAGCTAAGTTTAAACCAATATTTCCGGACAAGACAGGACGTATCTTGTGACCAGAAGTTATAAAAGTTTGAGAGACGCCCAATTTCCGGAACAAGACCGGACGTATTCTTCCGTCAAAGAGATAAGCCAGGCCCAATCAGAAGACAAGACCTAAGTAGGTCAACCAATAGCCCACTACCACGTGAAAAAGTCCCACCAATTAGGAAAGAATCACCTAAATAGGTCAGCCAATTAAAAAGCAGCAAGGTCGTGGTGTTAAATCGAGGCCCTAGAATTGTCAGTCTTCGCTTGGATTCCAACGGTAACACTTGCTCTTAAGATCTCTCTCTCTCTCCTCATCCCATTCCTTCTTGACGTCAGACGCTTTTTAGTGGAATCTCTGTTTGTTTATTTCACCTTTGGCCCAGCTGTGTCGCCTTCCACCACGACTGCACGGTAGAGTTGACATCGAGGTTCGTCTAGCATCAGGTAACACTGGTCCCAGAGGTCCCAAGATATCACAGACTCCCCCGTAACGAAGAGTCGACAGGATAGTGGACGCCAAGGTACAAGTAAGCAAGTAGACCACTGTCTGTACAGAAAGATGGAACAGGGAAGAGAGGAGGATTCAAAGGAGCCCATGAAGACCGATCCCGACTACGAAAGTGGCGAAAACCCCACTTTTTCGAAGAAAGAAAACACTCTCGGTAAGACGCAGGAAATCGCCCCCGGCCAGGAAGACGTCACACCTTCGCCGCCGGTGTCAGATGTCCTAGGGAGGTTGACGACGACGCGACATCAGCTTTCTGCCGTGACCGGACATCGCGAGAGGTGGAATCGCTACGATGGTTCGTACGAGGCGCAGAGCTTCTTCACCAACTACGACGCCCAAGCAGATCGGGCCCAACTACCATTCTCTACAAGACTGAGAAAGCCACCAAATCTCCTGCAAGCACCCCTCCGAGTTACCAACACGCGAGCGTATGTTACCTGCTCCCCCGACCATCTCTAAACCACGAGCCCAGCGAAGACAATGAACTCCGACTGTCCCAAAGACCCTCCAACTATGGCACCAAACCAGGACTGTCCCGATATACAAGGCAGCACAACAGTAGGTTCCTCCTTCTATACCTTATGTTGAACAATTGCTCGTTCGAGCGGAACTGTCCAATAATGTAAACCTACTCTACTACTTAATACAGGAGCATCTATCGCTATAATTAGGCAGAATACTTTAAAATAATAGAAATCAGTTTGTAAAAGAAAAATACCTGTCCATCCATTTAACTTAACTATTAATGCCATAGCTAACAATATTTTCACCATAGATTATATCTTTTTGATCGTAAAAATTAAGTAACATAACGCAGAACCTAAAATTCCATATCATCGATACACCTTTGCCTTTTGGCATGTTATGCCTTAATTCCCTAAAACGATTTCTACTAATTATAAACTGTCCTCAGCTACTCCTGTATCAATATAATGTATCTCTACCAACTACCTTGTACCAATTCACTTCGTGCAAGCAACACGTGTCCCATGGACAGGTTAATAAAACTGTCCCATTTACTAATTTTTCCCTCCTGGAACAGGTTGCTCACACGTGGTGAACTCCAACATTCTTATTTAATCTTATTGTAATGTTCCTAATCCCATTTTCAACGCCCCTATGTCCTTTTCTTTCATATCTTTGGACAGAAGTAACTTAAATCACAGCCTTCCAAAACTATTCCAATCGTTAAATTCCCACATAACTACACTCCCTCGTACCTTCCTTTTACACGCATAGTTAAATATCGACAAATCTCTCTCAACAAAATATACAACACCCTCTCACATCACTTTTTCTAATTAACAAATTTTTAATGCGCGACTTCACACCCAAATCAATTTCGAGCCACACAAGCTTCATCACGTCGCCCTACTAAACACACACAATCTTTTTTTTTTCTCACATTAAACGTGTCATATCCACTAATAATATAAAAATTCTAGATATGTTCGTACAACCAGCACCCATGACTTTAGTAAATTTGTTATTCTTAGTGTAACAGGTTAGATTTTGTACAAAACAGAGACTTCACGCGACACCTTTTCATTTACAATTTTTTCGCTTCGTGTCACAGCGCCACACCACTAAACTCTTTCAATTTTCAGGCCAAAGACGCCTTCACCACGCCTGTGACACATTTATTTAACCACACATTGTCCACGTCGATAGTCGCAATTTCACTCAATTCCAACCTGATATCATTGAATAACATTTTTACTAAGTTCGCCAAAAACCATTCGATTTAATAACAGATACAATATCCGAATTTTCGAAATACAAACACAAATCTAACAAATGCTTGAACACACGGAATAATTCAACCTCTGTATCTCCCTATGTCAATCCCATAACGCTTTTCACCAAAAGTGACAAATCAAAACGCTTTTGCGTTTACAATTAGAAATAATATCTCCGAACGTAGTTCGAATTAACTTCCAATAAGTTGAAAGAAAGCAAGCAGCCTCGCAAAAGGCCTCCCTGACCTACATCCGGAATCGCATTAAAAATAGCTTCGCTCCCCCTCGCCCCCCCCGAGCAAACAAGCAGCCGACATCTTGTTACATCCGTCGCCACCCCGTGTTCTCTAATGAACTTTCGCCACCTATTAAATTAAATATTAGTGCGTGCCAAAGACAACACTTTACCTACAAAAATCACACACACCCACATAAGTTTAAAAAAA